TTTTTTTCAAGATTTTTAAAAAAAAAAAAAAAAAAAAACAGTTTTTTTTAAAAAAAAAAAAAAAAAAAAAAAAGTATATTACAACAGTAAAGATTTGTGATTGTTTCACTATGGCTATATAATAATAATATTAAATAAAAATAATATCTAATAATAATTAGTCATTTAAAAATTTATTTTATTCCAGTATTTTGCACCAAAAAAAATCTAGTATTTAAAAAAAAAAAAAAATTTATTTACATTACAACAGTAAAATTATGCTAATATTTTAGATATTTTATACATCAAGGTTTTATTTTGTTCACCTGTGCATGTGTTCATCAGGAGATGAGGAGCAGCGGTCTTCTGGCTCCAGAGGAGAACAAACAGAGGAGAAGCATCCAGCCCATCCACAAACCTGAACACCTCAGATCCACCGTGAGTCCAGAACGAGAGAGCAGTCTAAATATGAAGGTCATTTCAGATGTCAACACGTCACGTGTGTTTGTGTCAGAAACCCTTGAGGAGGCTTGACATCCAGGAGGTGGGTGCAGAGATCTCACCGTCCACGTCTTCACCGCATCCCAAGATCCAGAAGATAGAGGAGATCTCAGACGCTTCTGTATCCAGGTGAGCAGATGACGTGATCCGATCGTCACGCTCTCCTGCTGCTGGAGTGAGTCTGTCAGTGTCTTGTGTTTCAGGGCCCTTGAGGATTCATCTGCAGATGCTGAATCGATTCCTCCTCCACCCAGCAGCAGTTTCCAGCTGGAGGCCGACCTCAGGAAGATCAGCCGCAACCCACAAGCCACTTACAGATATCTGAAGGTAGCGTCCGTGCCGCTCACAGGCTCCACTCTATCCTCTAGGGCTGGGTTTTTACACATTTCACGATTCGATTTGATTCTCATTCACAAGCTTGCGATTCGATTACCAATTCGATTCTATATCGATTATTTTGGATATATATCAGGTACAATACATGCCAAATTTTCTCAAGGAAAAAAAAAATCTCTCAACTAATGCTGTAAAATATACTGTACTACATTATTATAATATTGAAGGTTATAATTGACTCATTTGTTAAAAATACACAATGAAGTTTTTAAAATGATAAAGTTACAATTACATAATATTTCTACTTCAATTATTTTTTTTAAATATAAACATGGATTTATTCAAACATAAATTAAACATTGAAGAACAGTAATATTTATAATGAATATGTTGGTGCATATATTTAGCAAAATTCCCCTCTCTACAGTTTATTTTTCTAGCTGACTAACGAGTTTATGGTCACAGAATATGTTTTTCTGAGGTAAATGTGACGTGACGTTGTTAACAAGCTGTTATATTGATGTCTTTGCGCAGCTGAAACACTGACTGAGCGATTACACGAGACAGGGTTCGGATTGTAAAGTTGTACTCTTTCTTTTAACTTGCCTTCGGATGTTTAGTCATGTTTATTTTGTGCTATAACTAGTAATAAAGTGGAGGAGATGATCAGTTCACATGCGCTACGTGCTGCTGCATCTAAAAAATAGCATTTATTGTTTGAATACTGCAATACAGTGGACAGAATTTGAAATCTGAGACTTTTTGTTTCATATCAGAAGTAGCAAAACACAATGCTTATTGTGATATATTGGATGGGAAGTGCCCTTCAACATTCCATCCTTTAACTGAAAACACTAGACTAATCGAATCTACAGATTTAAGAATCGATAACGTTCCGTAAAAATGATAATCAATTAATATTGAGATGTCAATATTTTTTACCCAGCACTACTATCCTCTTTCTGTGCTTCTCATCTCAACGTTTAACATTGCAGCAAATCAGTCCAGACGCTTATCTGAAGATCTTCCAGAACTCTCTGGAGCCTGATGTTCTCAACCACATCCTCAAGACCTTCCACAGCTTCTTTCAGTGAGTGCTCAGTGATGAGGATGAGGAGGATGAGGAAGATGTACATGTAAACTGTTGATGATGATGAACCAAGAATGAAAGTTACTATAACCATAACTAATAATAACTAAAGCAGTGTTATTCTTAACTAAAACATAAAATATAAATATTTAATAAAAAACATAAATGAAAATTAGAAAAGTTACTTTGCAACTAACTGAAATACAAGTATAAGTACCAAAATTACTAAAACTAAAATGGAACTAAAAAATAAATTGCAGCTAAATAGAAATATATATATATATATAAATACAAAAGGCCATAACAACACTTAAAATGATTTCTTAAACTAAAATAAAAGTGAAAAGTGAACATCTAAAAATTAAAGCTAATTCTAAATAGCAATAAATACTATAGTATACCAATAATATTAAATAACACTCAACTCTAACGGTAACTATAACTAACTATAACCGTTTTATTGTTAACTAAAACAAATTTTTTTTTTTTTATCATTTTAGTTTGTTAACAATAACACTGATAGAATGTTTGTAAGTGAAATAAAGTAAAATATAAATATTAGATGAAAAATATAAACAAAAATGAGAAATAACTGAAGTAGGTTTTAGTTGAAAGTACTAAAATTACTAAAACGGAAATAAAAATAACCTACAGCAAATAAAAAAAACGAATAACGATGACAAAGGCCATAACACAATTACCAAAACATGAACTAAAATGAAAATGAACACTGATAATCTAAAACTTAAAGCTAATTCTAAATATTAAAGAATATTATAAGAGTTTAGAAATAACACTGAATTGTAACCGTAACAATAATTGCAACTATAATGATAACTGTAATAGTAACTATAATGATGAAAATATCGATAATGTAACTATAACTGGTAACTAACAATATTTATAACTGCAACTATAACAGAAACAACATCTATAATAACTACAATGCTACCTATAACAATTCTGTTTATTATTAGCGTGCTGCAGTTTCTGCCACTTTAAGTGCTTAGATTCTGATTGGCTCTCAATGTTTTTATCGTTCATCAGCTGGAAAGAAAATGACTCGGAGTGAGTTATGGTTATAGTTATCATCGCTGGTGTGCCTTTACTGCAGACAAGGAGAGGTCAACATGATGATGTCATTTCCTGTTTCCTGTGTCTGGTCTGTGATTTCAGACGTGAAGATGCGTCTCTTCTGCTGGCCGTCCTGAGGAGCCTGGCGAGCGTGAGGAGGTTTGACATGACCGTCATGTTCATGTCGTCCGCCGAGAAGAAACGTACGAACACACAAACACACACAAGCACTGAACAACAGCGCGCACAGCGGCGAATAAACACAAACTCTGTTCTCTCTGTCAGTCTTACAGGAGCTGTTTGACTGGATTCACAGCGCCGGTCTGGGAGACGCTTCTGTTCCAGGCTTACAGAAGAAATACGGCCTTTGACCTCTACAGAAATCTCTCCTGTTTCGATTTCTACAGTCATTCTGACACTGGACTGAAAACTCAGTTTGAGGTGAAACCGAACCAGCTTCAGTGTGAATGAATCCGATGCTCTGATACCTCAGAATGGACGCTTGGTGCCTTTAAACTCTGCTTTATTTGGTTCCTGCATGTGTGCATGAGATGATATTATTATATGAGTCCATCTAAAACGTCTGCCGTCGCTTCATGTGTCTCGGTGTTATTCTTCAGAATCTGCTTCTGTAGTTCTGAATGCTGCAGTATTAAAGTCAACATGAAATCCAAACGGACTCCAGACTCATTCCTGCACGATTCATTCAGTGCACACATCTGACCCTGGAGCACAAACCCAGTCACTTTTTTTAAATAAGCTTTCCATTGATGTATGGTTTGTTAGGATCGGACAATATTTGAAAATCTGGAATCTGAGGGTGCAAAAAAATCGAAATATTGAGAAAATCATCTTTAAAGTTGTTCAAATGAAGTTCTTAGCAATGCATATTACTAATCAAAAATTAAGTTTTGATATATTTACGGTAGGACATTAACAAAATATTAAGATATACTTAATATCCTAATGATTTTTGGCATAAAAGAAAAATCTACAATGTATTGTTGGCTATTGCTACAAATATACCTCAGCGACTTAACACTGCTTTTGTGCTGCAGGGACACATATGAAAGCATCTTTCATCCAAATGTAATAACTTCAGACAAATCACAATCCATCCAAAGTTTTCCTCAGTAAAGGGGTCATAACATGAATATGTTCCTTGAGGTTTACTGATAATGTTAAAGTTATTAATGTGGAAAAACCTCATTCTGACCCTCTCTTTAAAACGTGGTTTTAAGGGGCGTGTCCCTTAAGGCTTGTCAGTAATCGGCCACTGTTATGATTGGCTAACGTCACTGCATAGGAAACACTATTTTCGCTATTTTCGACAACATGAAAATAAAAACGGTCATTTCCAGACAAAGCATTATGAAATCATTGTTACTTACGGTTTGTGATGCAGCTGCAGTCAGATCTAGTTCCGCTTCATCTTTCAACACGTTTCTTTGTGACTCTCCATGACACTGTGCCTTGTTTACAAAACAAAATGCTCCGGGATGCCATTAAAAACAAACTATCCACTTATTCCTTATGCTGGGATCCTTCTGATATCTGTACACAGACGTGAACGAGCTGTTTAAACCTTAGTCCTGAGGACGGACAGAAAGTGAAGCACATCTGTTTACTGTATCCAGCGCAATCTCGCATTAATACCAGTGGGCGGGGCTTATGGTGAGAAGACTACTATTCCTTAAGAGGTGCGTTTATGCAAATATTTTTACCCGGGTGACGTCATCTTGCACCTCTGATCCAAACTGAGTTTGAATAAATAAATGCTTTGTTTATAATGAGGACGTTTTAAGCTATGAAACTTGCAGGATGTTTTACAAAGACCTCTTATATGCCAAAAGATCGAGGCAAATTTGATTTATGTCATGACCCCTTTAAATGTATAATTTCTCTCTAAAATATGTACACTATCAAATATATTGTCACCTATCGCTATATGCAATACAGAGCGTAATACACAGTGATAAACAGGAGAAAAATAAGCAGTTCAGTGTTGGTTCAGTTCAGATCAATCACAAGTCTTGCGAAATTTGTCAGTTATGAAGCCAAGTTGATTCAGACTTAAGGAATGCTATATAGCAGTCCAGCTCAATTTTATATTACACTCATATTTGACAAAAGGAAATAAAGCACTTTCATTGGTTCTGAATTATTGAGATAAAACTCCCTCCAAAAAAGACGTATATAAGCCAAGACGCTTCAGTGGCCTGAGTGGCGATCCTTCATGCATAGAATGCTATTTTGAATCTCTCTCTTTATTGATTTTTCTTCTTACAGCTAAGCTCTCAAGACTGTGGCTCAGTGGTCTGCATCCAGGTTCGAATCTTGCTGTAGGTAGAAAATGCTGGTCTGAGAGTTGTGGACGCCACACAAAGGTCACATGATTCCGTTTATTCTACACACTTTATATTTACATTTGTGTTTAAACAGAAACCTTGAACCCAGAGATTGATTTGGCCAAACATCGGTCACATTACTGGGACAGAGAAGAAAACAATCAATGCTTACAAGAAGTCATTTATATTTCAGAAGGTTTGATGGCATCAATATCATCATTAGAATGAGATCTGCAGAGAGAGGAAGAGGAGGATTTTGGCCCAAAACCCGTCACATGTCCTCGTGAAACGCAACAAACGTCAGATCTACAGAAACGGACATTTCATTTCCATAAAGCTTCTCTTTTGGCAGTACGATTCAGTACAAAACAGTCGTGTACAGAAATATGATTTTGCTAGTAAAAATGAGAGTAGTCTCCACGTACATTCAAAGCGGCTGATAAATAATCTGGCTGAACTTCAAGACGTCAGAAGTGTCTGTGAGGAACAATAGTAATCGATATTTGGTCCAAGATCCAGCCAATCGTTTGGGAATATTTACATCATGTTTTCTGTCCGAGCAGTAAAAGTACAATATGACTGCATATATATATATATATATATATGAATGTTTCCAGGATGTTGGATTATGAAGGCAGAACTCGATGGCACTAGACTACATACTGCTCTGATGTTCTCACAGGAACCTACGGAGAACGCTGCAGCAACATTCACATCTCTACAAAAAGCAAACTTCCTCTCGCGTCTCGTCACGCGTGTTCGTCCGCGTCCGATCCGTTATCAGATGGGTCCAAGAGTTCTTGGCGACGGCGCATTATGGCGGCAAAGTGAGCACGCTCCACGGCGTCCTGTAAAAGGTCAGAGGTGACAGGTGAGAGAGGGGTCAGTGGCTGCTCCCCTCGTCGAAGGACTCCACGCCGGAATCGCTCGCCGCCAGCTTCTCCTGCCGCCTCCTCATGACCTCCTGCAGCTCCGAGGCGGAGCTCCTCTACAGACACACAGACAGAACGCAGTGAGACACTCAGAAACAGCTCACTAGGGCTGGGGATTGAGACAGATTTCACGATTTGATTCGATTTCCATTCACAAGCTTGCAATTCAATTCAGTTCCGATCAATATTGATTCCTTTGGATATATGTGACACTGGAGCACAAAACCAGTCATAAGGGTCTTTTTTTAAAAATTGAGATTTATGCATCATCTGAAAGCTGAATAAATGAGCTTTCCATTGATGTATGGTTTGTTAGGATAGAACAATATTTGAAAATCTGGAATCTTGAGGGTGCAAAAAAATCTAAATATTGAGAAAATCATCTTTAAAGTTGTTCAAATGAAGTTCTTAGCAATGCATATTACTAATCAAACATTAAGTTTTGATATATTTACGGTAGGAAATTTGCAAAATATCTTCATGGAACATGATCTTTATTTAATATCCTAATGATTTTTGGCATAAAATAGAAATGTATAATTGTGACCCATACAATGTATTGTTGGCTATTGCTACAAATATCCCCCAGCGACTTAACACTGCTTTTGTGCTGCAGGGACACATATAAGCAATCAGGTACAGTACGTGTTACATTTTTTTTGTTCTACATGTTTTATTATTACACAGACAGATGTAATAATTATTTTATTTAAATAATTTCTTATCCCCATGTTTAACCCACTGAATTAGGTGAATCCAGACCAAAAATAAACATTACATAACTTCCCCCCCACCCATAAACCCCTCAGGAGGATTGACAAGAAACGGCATTATCTATAATAATACTATATGAGATAATTGTAATAATTTATGAAATGTATATAATAAAGTGTGTATTTAAATGAGAGAAGAAAGAAAGGGAAAGGGGGAAAAACTATTATACATACAGAAGTATACATGCATGCATACAACATACAAATAATATTTCTCAACTAATGCTGTAAAAACTATATTATAAACATTTTTTATTGAAATAATTATGTTTCTACTCCACTTTTTTTCTAAATATGAACATGTATATAGTGGATGTCAAAACTTGATTTCATGATGGATTTATTAAATATTACTTTTAGTCATTTAGCAGATGCTTTTATCCAAAGTGACTTACAAATGGAAAGCTTAAGTGAAAATATAATGAATATATAATAAAGTGCATATATTTAGCAAAATGCTATTCATTCTAGCTGGCTATCGAGTTTAGGGTCATTGAATATATTTCGGAGGTAAATGTCACATTATTGGTCACAAGCTGATTTATTGACACCTTTCTGTATTTAAAACACTTATTACATAAACATGATTAATTTCAGTAAGTTGTTCTGTTTCTTCTGATGTTCATTCATGTTTATTTGCTGCTGTAACTATTAGTAAAGAGGAAGTGATGATCGATTCACTACAGCGGTCTGTCACCACTTTAAAAAGTGTCAAACCAGTATTTATTGTTTGAATTTCATGAAAGATTGAAAGCTGAGACTTTGTTTCTTATTAAATGTAACTAAGGACAAAGCTTATTGTGATTTACTGGATGGGATGTGTTAATGAAATAGTGTTTCATTAAGTTTTGTTACAGAAAACAGCATAGATCGGTTCTTGGAATTTAAGAATCAATATCGGTTCATCAAAATAAGAATCGATTAAAATTGAGAAATTAACCCAGCCCTACATCTCACAAGATGCTTATTTAAACAAGCTGCGTGAAGCTCAATACCTCAAAACACCTGCGGCGTGATGGAGAGACAGAGAGGAAGAGCAGAAACGAGTGAATGAGGATGAAGGGTCTTCATCAGATGCTCTAAACTAACAATGATGGACGTGTAAAGGGGATTCTGGGAAAGCATCTATTCTCTAACTATGACTGGAGACAGCAGACAGAAGCCATTAAACAACACGAGCATCTATTACAATGTGCACTCGCTCTGATTTCAAACAGATTCGATGAAACGCAGATCATCAGTCATGTGCAAACAGAATAAATTGTGCTGTTGAAATACAGAGTTCTGGCATGAAACTCTAGATGGCGCAGTCCGATAGGTCTAACTCAATCTGACCTAATGACATCATTATCACATGGCACAGCTGATTGGTTCTCTCCTGTATCGGTAGCCAATGAGCTCGCTGCTCAACATTCAAATATATGACTAGTGCTTGCCGTAGCAGTCACAGCTTGCTTCAGAAACCCTCCACCTTCCCCAGCTCCACCTGTATAGATCTGCTACGAGGTGATTCATGTACGCTATATGGGGGTTATTTAATGTATGCGATATGTGCAGCAGCAGTATTTCTTACATGCTCACAGCAGCATGTTGTGGATGTATTGGCAGTAGCAAGTCTCGGTACTAGCTCTGCCGCAGCAGCAGCATAGCAGATCTATTCCGCCAAGACCAAATACATTAACATTGTCATGTACATTACCATGCCAATCCCTCCGAGAGTTGTCATGACAGAAATATTAATATGAGCTGGAGGAGGAAACGAGCGGTTCTGTGTCAGGATCATAAGGGGTCGTTTGCACCAGCTAGCTGTGGCAAGTTACTAAATATTTTTGCATTGAACCATTAAACATAATGCATAAACTAAATATCTACTGATAAGAGCAGGAGTAACAGCTGGAATAGTTAGGGGCCTAGTCAGACTTCAGTCGCTGTGCATCATAAGATCAATCGAAATAAATGCCATTTCTTATGTGCTTTTTTTTTTAATTTTGGGAGGGTTTAAAAGACAATTGATATTGAGTAATATTATTGATTTAACTGCACGGACAAAAATTTAACTGCATAATGACACTATTATTAGTAGTACAGAGTACTAGCTAAGTGTGGACTTTATATTCCAATTTAAAGGGACAGTTCACCCAAAAATGCAAGTTCTGTCATCATTTACTCACACTCAAGTTGTTTCAAACCTGAATTTTTAAACACAAAAGAAGATATTTTGAAGGATGCTGGGAATCAAACCATTTTTGACGTCTAACACATTACGGTATCCATCAACTCTTTGCATACCAACATTTTTAAAAATATATTGTTTAAGAAAGAAACTCATACAGGTTTGTAAACTATCCCTTTAAGTAGGAACTGGTTAATGATGTGTTAACTAAACAGAGCAAAGCCGCCTCGCTACGATACTAAAGTACCTTCAGAGGAACGTGGATTACATGTGAAGATCATGAGAGGGTCAGAAGAAAACCTGCAGACAGCAAAAACACCACAGAAAAACCAAAGCGACACTACAGAGTTGAGCAACTTATCAGCAGATTAACTAACCAGACTCGAGATTCGATTCAGGGAGTACTATTTTGCTATCACTTTCTGGATGGATCCAGAATCGCACGGTCAGTGTGATGTGATCCGGTCCGAGACATATGGATTGTGACAGAAGAGTTGAAAGAGGAATGAAGAGAGAAATAAGGAAGGATCTGTGAGGAGAAGCGGAGGAAGTCGACTCACCTCGAGAGCAGCTTTCTGGACGGTGATCTGGCTGTAGACTCGAGCGCCGTCATCAGGACAGACGGTCTTCAGCTCGTCTTTGTTCAGAGAGAAGAGCTGAGCACCGGTCAGTACACCCAGACTGTTGATAGTCCTGCAGACCAAACCACAACAGCTCAACCCATCAGCCTTGAAGAGGTCATCGGATGCGACATGCACTTTTACAAGTTGTTTGAACTGAAATGTGTGTTGGCACACAACCACCCTATAATGATAAAAATCCACCCAGTGTTTTTGTTTTTTTAAACCTCGTTAAATCATTTCCCCTTTCTCAAATCAAGCCGATCTCAGATGCCTGTCAGTGTGATGTCACACAGACAGGCCCCTCCCACGATTGTTGATTGACACTAGCGTTTCACCTTAGCTCCGCCCTGAGCGAGCTGTCATCAGTCCGCCATTGTTTCACCGCCGAACAAGCAGACAAGAATGGCTCCTGACAGATTGAGGTGTTCTGTTGTTGGATGTAATAATGAACATAGCAGTCGTCATTTACTCCCGACATCTGAGCCACTGAAGACGCATTGGATTACGTTTGTTTCTGAAGGAAATACGCTCCCGATCTACATAAATGTTTGCACGAATCATTCGTGATCCAGCTTCACCTCCAGAAGAAGTGAGTATAAGGTTCTTTTATGAATCTTTGCAAATCGCCTTTCCTAATAACGTGCTAGTTAGCAAGTTCCGCGGCTAAAGTAAACAGTCTCATGAGAACGGCACGGAAGAGAGGGGCGGGGTCAGCAGAGCTCATTAGCATTTAAAGGAACATGCACTAAAAGGGCGTGCTGAAAACAGAGCTGATTTTAACATAGTAAAAAGGGAGTTTTTCACACTACCATTGAGAAATTTTAACCAATGTATGTTATAGACTTTTCATTAAGACCCTAAAGAATCTTATCAACTTGTGGAAAATGGGCATCCGATGACTCCTTTAATCACTCATGATAGAGTCACTCACACTTCGCTGAAGCCTTTGAGCTGCAGCCAGGCCTTGACCTCGTCCGGCGTGGAGTCGTACGTGATGTTGACCGCCGGCAGGCTGCTGGAGGAGCGAGACGGAGCCTGGAACTTCTTCTGAGCGCTGCGGCCCAGAGTCAGTCTGTGAATCAGCTCATCCTGAACCTCCTCCATGTTGGACTTCCGGCCTGAGAAACACACGGATAATGCTGCAGGTGTGTGTGTGTGTCATTTACACAATGAGATACTATTACTTTTTTTATTAAAGGGGTCATGAACTGCCTTTGTTTTTATTTTGTACTGTTCTCTGAGGTCCACTTATAATGTTATCAAGATTTTAACATCAAAAAACATAATTTAGAAGCAATAGGCTATTTTCTGTCCTGTTTTTAACCCCCCTCATCAGAATGTTCTGTTTGAATAGACGTGGAGGATTGTAGACTCGCAAGTAAATGCCCACTGCTGTGATTGGCTCAGAGTTGTGTATGTTTGACAGCAACATTCATCACAGATGGACGCTGCTGTGATTTAGGTCAAGAACGCATAAATAACTCAATACATATCAAACGAACTGTAAGAAGAGACAAAGCAATAGTGACCACGTAATAAAAACAGTTACTCACACTTGTGTTTGGGACATTACTGTCGGATCCAATATAGTCGCACAGCATCGTCTTTTAGTTTCAATCTTTCTGAAAACCTTGGGCCTTGTTTATAAATGAATCCTCGGTAAAATGAAGTGAACAAAGGACCGAGGTCTTACTGACGCTGTCTGGATCTTCATTAAAAATAAAGTTCATCCACTCTTTCCTAACATTGGGATCAGAAGGAAGGCAATGCAAAGACTGTTTTTCCACAACTGCACTGCACCGTGTCTTCTTGTCTTCAGAGCATCTTTATTGTTGGGTTTCTGCGTAGACCTGCACGTTCGCCACTCTTGTAAACACTACATGTGCGAATCGGTGGGCGGGGCTAAACAGGCAGTGATGTAGAATCGGTGGGCGGGGCTAAACAGGCAATGGTGTATACTTGGTGGGCGGGGCTAAACAGGCAGTGATGTAGAATCGGTGGGCGGGGCTAAACAGGCAGTGATGTAGAAGCAGGTGTTGATGTTCTACGGAGGCGGGGCTTATCCACACTTTTACATCATAGAGTAGAACATTCCATTGCCTTAAATAGAAGCTGTTTTTAGACTAATGACAAAGTTTCGAGTTCTGAAACGTACAGGATATTTTTATAGTACAATGACCTCTATATGTCAAAAGATCAAGGGAATTTTGGTTTCTCAGTTCATGACCCCTTTAATGTTTTGAATCAGTATGGCTTATTTTTCAGAAAATGTGCTGATTGTATGAGTGTGTGTGTGTGTGTGTGTGCGTACGGCTGGTGGGCGCGGGTCTCTCTCTCTGATGTTCTCTCATGGTCACGCCGTCGCTCTCGCTGCTGCTGTTGTTGTGTTGTTGGCTGTCGGCTGGTGGTGTGTCCTGTTGTTGGGCGGATGTGGACAGCAGCGGGGGGGTGGGGATCTGCATCGGGGCGGGAGGAGGCGGGGCCATTGGGGTGGGCAGGGCTTCCGTCACCACCGGTTTGGGCACATAATCTGAGCGCTGCTTCTGAACGGCACAAACAGCACAGTCAGACACTGAACTCCACTGTGATCAAGACCTCATGAAACCAGCGCCACACTGATGCACTTCCTGTTCACACAGAACATGCTGAAGCGCTCGTGATTTAGTTCCCCTGCAGACCTGCTGTAATCACATGATTAACTTCGACTGGACATCAGATGCGCTCATCAAAGCCATGAATCTGATTGCATGAGGTCTCTAAAGGGCCGTTCACACAGAACGCGTTTTTCTATTCCAATGCGCTACTTTTCCTTTGTTTTTTTATGCAAACACGTACTAGACGGACATGCATGACCATTACTCACATCTCGTGTCTTTTGTGGCATCTCACACATGAGCGCATTTTTAAGACGCTGTGTCAAGTTAAGAGTTTAAACTTTTACACGCAGTGCTGCTCATCAATGTCAGTTCCAGAACAGTGGACCAATCAGAAGAGCCCGGAGGCGGGGCAAGCGTTGTTTACAGTAGCAAGTTGGCATGGCAACTGTTTTATTTGACAGCAGCATGGCGGAGGAGGTGTTCTGCGCTGCGCTTTTTTAAAAAGCTGCATCTCACTTTTTTAGACGCAAAGACGTGTTATGTGTGAACGGCCCCTAACACACAGATCAACAGTAGTTCATTTATACTGTATTAATATTTCTAATGTCTAGCCAGCCTCTACACAGACAGATCTCTATGAAAAACATACTGAGATGGTTGATTATAGTCAAAATAATCCAGTTACCTCGTTTAACTCGCCCAGTAATTGCTTGAGAGAAAAATGAAGAGTGACGTGAAAATGAAATTCAACAATACACACACACACAGAGCAAATAAAACACACACACACACACACACACAGCAAATAAAGCACACACACACACAGCAAATAAACACACACACACACAGAGCAAATAAAACACACACTCACACACACAGCAAATAAACACACACACACACACACAGAGCAAATAAAACACACACTCACACACAGCAAATAAAACACACACACATACACACACACAGCAAACACACACACTCAGCAAATAAAACACACACTCACACACACACACAGCAAATAAAACACACACAAGCATTTACTAGTCATTCCATAGACATCTATTGTTTTATTTACAGCTAGATATAAATACTAACTAACACACTCACCCTAACAGAAAACACACTGCATTTTAAAAATTTATGAAAAACTGTTCTTTTTATAACATTTTTACAAATGAGGATGTCTCTAAAAGGAGGTTTTGGGAGGTTTAACTCAAATCTGTGTACACATTTGCCCCCAAAATATGATTGAGGCACACACACTCACACACACACTCACACACACACTCACACTCACACTCACACTCACTCACTCACACTCACACTCACACTCACACTCACTCACTCACACTCACACTCACACTCACACTCACTCACTCACACTCACACTCACACTCACACTCACTCACTCACACTCACACTCACACTCACACTCACTCACTCACACTCACACTCACACTCACACTCACTCACTCACACTCACACTCACACTCACACTCACTCACTCACACTCACACTCACACTCACACTCACTCACTCACACTCACACTCACACTCACACTCACTCACTCACTCACACTCACTCACTCACTCACTCACTCACACACACACACACACACACACACACACACGCACACAGAGGGAGATAAACTGAACTAATGCAGGAAATCAAAACAAACTGAACACAAACACTCCAGTTTACCTTAAACAACTCAAATTCCTTTTTTGGCATCATTAGCTTTAAGATGAACAGATGAACACAAACAATAATTCTATGACATGGCAAAACATGGAGATGAAATGGAAGTGAAGAAGCATGCAGACAGAAGCTGAGTAAGCGTCTCGTGTGTGTGTGTGAGTGCGTGCGTGCGTGTGTTTGTGTGTGTGTGTGAGAGTGTGTGTGTGCGTGCGTGCGTGTGTGTGTGTGTGTATGTGAGAGTGTGTGTGTGTATGTGTGTGTGTGTGTCACCTGTATGGTGTGGCTATAGATGGGCTCCCCGCGGCCCGTCATGTCCACTGCCCTGGTGATCTCCAAGATGTTGTTTGGCACATATCCTATAGCCCCCGACCCGTTTCGCACCTTCCACCACTGCTTCCTGTCATCCAGCACCTGACGACCAATCAGATCGACACGTCACATGACACATCATCAGTCATATCATCATCATCATCATCATCATCATGTGACGTACCTCCACCACCTCATCCTTCATCACAGACAGTTCAGTGTTATTTCTGGCCACAAAGTCATATCTGGATTTGGCAAAGTTCCTCTGCGTCTGGCTGTGAGCCTCAAGGTTCCTGAAGAGAAAGAGTCAAAGAACCTCCACAAATGAGGCATCATCATCATCATCATCATCATCATCATCATGTGACGTACCTCCACCACCTCATCCTTCATCACAGACAGTTCAGTGTTATTTCTGGCCACAAAGTCATATCTGGATTTGGCAAAGTTCCTCTGCGTCCGGCTGTGAGCCTCAAGGTTCCTGAAGAGAAAGAGTCAAAGAACCTCCACAAATGAGGCTTGCTGCAAAAAAAAAAATCACGTCTTGTTTTTCACTACCAAAAGATACGTTTAACTGAGAAGCAAAATGACTTAAGATATTGTTTTCTTGCCTTGTTTTCTGAAATAATAATCATAATTAAGTGAGTTTGAGCTTAAAACAAGAATATCTGCTAATGGGGGTCAGAAAAATAAAAACAAGATTAATTGTTTTGACTAAACTGGCAGATATTTGGTCTTGTTTTAACCCTTGTGTGTGTGTGTGTGTGTGTGTGTGTTTGATCAAACTAGTTGTTAATGCAAACAGCATAAATTTGGTCAAAAGTGTGTATTAGACTTTTATTAGATTTATTAGACTTTTATTAATAAATATACTAAAAATAAATAAATAAAATTTCACACTCATTTCCTTTAATAAGTCTATTTTACACAAGGTGCAAAAATATGTCCACACTGAAACATTTGCAATATTTCATCTTTAATTTAAACCATTTAAGCATAAAATCGTGCAGGCTTTCATTCTGCTGGCAAGTACTTTTTCAGCTTCTTACTATTTTCCACATTATAGCACCATTTTTTAAATCCGAAACTGCACAAAAAAAACAAATAATGCATCAAAATGAATGTTGTTGCTAATCATTGACATATCCAAGACTATAATAATAAAATAAATCTGCTTAGCATTTAGTATATGGAAAATAATTGTTTTTTTGTGTGTGTGATTTTTCCCCCCACTATATTTCTGAAGTAATTTTGCTTCTCAATTAAATGTATCTTGGTTTAACAATGTTGATATATTTGTACTGCAAAACAAGACAAAAACACTGAGGAACAACATGATTTTTTTGCAGCGAAATCTCTTAAACACAAGCTCGCTCTCTTTAAATGCTGAATCTACAGATGAGTGTAGTTATTGACCGACCGCTGCCGCCATGGAGGAGCATCTCAGAGCTCGAGAACGAGACGGGAAGAGAGTCTTTACTCCATCAGAAGACAGAAACCTGGACGTTTTAACAGACTGAGAGTTCAGGTCAGAGTTGAGAGTTTAGAGAAGCAGAATGAACCCAGAACAGACCCAGAAGCGTAGTGCGCACTGAGCCGGTTCTCCAGGGCGCGCGGTGCGGTCGCTCGTACCCCGGTGGGTTTTACCTATCTACATGATGGCTGACCGCGTGTTTAAAAGCAGCCACGGCCATGTCTGGCTCCAGCAGGTGCAAACGCTTGTGAGAAGTGTGACTGTAGCCGTACCCGTCTGCGCCGGGGAAGTCCTGGACCACCGGCTGCTGTCGGGAGAGAAAACACTTTCACTTCAACAAGTACTTCACAGCGTCACACTGTAAGTGTTAAAGGTGAAAGAGCATCTCACGTCCACAGGTCTCTGAACCGCGCCGAGCCTCTCCGCCAGCTGAGCCACGTCCTGCTCACGAGACACCAGCACTGGCGGCTCCCAGCCGTCCCGGAAACACAGCGTGTGCGGAGGAAACGGGTGATCCTTCGGCCACTCCAACCTCCACACAAGACACATCACAATACACATTACTGATGCGCGGATGGGGTTATATCCACAGGTCGGGGAATAAAAAAATGCATTCTGATTATTTGTGGGTGGATCAGATAAATCATTAATGATGCAAATATTAACTACATTTTCTAAAATATGAACGTGTTTCAAATAGGCTACAGAAATTTAATAAACTGTAAATTAACATATTAAAGTTATTCAACAAAACATTATTTGTGACCCTAGAACACAAAACCAGTCTTAAGTGTCAATTTTTCGAAATTGAGATTTATGCATCATCTGAAAGCTGAATGAATAAGGTTTCCATTGATGTGTGGTTTGTTAGGATAGAACAATATTTGAAAATCTGGAATCTGAGGGTGCAAAAAAATCTAAATATTGAGAAAATCATCTTTAAAGTTGTTCAAATGAAGTTCTTAGCAATGCATATTACTAATCAAAAATGAAGTTTTGATAGATTTACGGTAGGAATAGGGTCACAATCCAGGGTCACATTTAGTCAAGAGCAGTGAGGGATTTTCTCTGTCTTTTGTTGTCTGGTTAACATTAATGACAGACGGCACAGCTTTATTAGGCTGCTGTCACAAGACTTATTTCACAGATCCAGTACTGATACACATGCGCTTTCTTTCGCAACTGTTTACATGGCTTAAGAAGGCTTAAGAAGACGTGAAAGTAATACATTTTTTGTGACGATGCAACAATTAGGCAATTGACAATTCTGTCAACTGTCCCGAAGCGCGAGCTAAAGTCTTGTATCGCAGCGTGCAGCAGCTCTAGAGAGAGGACGCAGTACAGCTGAATAACTCGCGCTGTTTTCATCTGATGGTTTGTGTGGATTTATTTACTCATCATGCTATATTGAATAAATGTTTTGCAGGAATTTCCCTCATTTTAAAGTCGAAAGCTGCGGGAATGAGTAATGCGATATGTGACCCTGCAGCACTAAAGCAGTGTTGAGTCGCTGGGGGATATTTGTAGCAATAGCCAACAATACATCGTATGGGTCAAAATTATACATTTCTCTTTTATGCCAAAAATCATTAGGATATTAAGTAAAGATCATGTTCCATGAAGATATTTTGTAAATTTCCTACTGTGAATATATCAAAACTTAATTTTTGATTAGTAATATGCATTGCTAAGAACTTCATTTGAACAACTTTAAAGATGATTTTCTCAATATTTAGATTGTTTTGCACCCTCAGATTCCAGATTTTCAAATATTGTTCTATCCTAACAAACCATACATCAATGGAAAGCATTTATTCAGGTTTCAGATGATGTATAAATCTCAATTTTGAAAAATTGACCCTTATGACTGGTTTTGTGCTCCAGGGTCACATATATACGCAATCAAATGCACACCAAAATGCAGGACCTGATTAAACATAATTCTATTATACAGAGAATTGTGAAATAGATTTCCATGACTTTTACAAAACTTTATGGGTTTATTTATTTTTCCAAAACTTTCCAGGCAAATTGGAAATTGCTGTTTTAAAATTCCATGACTTTTCCAGGTTTTTCATGACCGTACGAACCCTGAATGTGATCATTTATTTGAAGCTGTGGATTCGGGTGACGGTTTAGCTCATCCATGCATCACTAATACACATGCTTTCAGAGTTATGTCTATAATGTGTCTTAGAGTTTTAGAGCGGGTTATAGTGCTGGATGAGATGATGATGAGATGAGTGATCCTCCAGATTTAGATCTAGCTATATTGTATTTATAGTGTTGTCTAGCACTTATATCGGTTCAGCAGTGACACATGTCTGTGCTTTCAAAGACAATTAAGAGATTTAAATGTTGGTCAGATTAAAATATCTGTTGTTTTTGTTTTATTAAGACATTTAAATATCGGTCGATTCTGTGCAGTGAAGAGATTTAAATATAAGTTGGTTTTGTTCTGTTAAAATATTTAAATGCCAGTTGAATGTTCTATTAAGAGACTGAATTATCGGTCAGTTTTGTTCTGGTAAGAGATTTAAATATCGGTCGTGTTTGTTCTTTAAAAATATAAACATCAGTCAGTTCTGTTCTGTTAAGAGATTTAAATGTTTGATTTTGTTTGATTAAAAGATTTAAATACCGGTCTGTTTTGTTCTGTTAAGAGATTTAAATAGAAGTTGTTTTTGCTCGGTTAGGAGAATTTAATATCGGCTGTGTTTGTTCTGTAAAAAATTTAAACATCAGTCGGTTTAATTTTTTAGGTTTTGAGATTTAGGTATCGGTTGCTTTTCTTTCTGTTAAGAGATTTATATCTTGTTTGATTTTGTTCTATGAAAAGTTTTAAATATGGGTCAGTTCTGCTATTAAGAGAGAGACGCTCCAGTACCTGCATTTGGTCCATCCGTCTCCCAGCGTGACCCACAGGTGTCTCTCCTCCGCCGAACCCGCCGCGTGCAGGAAGTCAATGGCTTCTCTGGTGAGGAGAGGAACAATCACGCTTTTAGCCAGATCCACCCCTCCAGACGTCTGGATCACCTGAGACACACACACACACACACAAACACGTCAGTCCGACAGAACACCTGTTCCACACACACACCCACACACACTCACACACACCCACACACACTCACACACACCCACACACACTCACACACACCCACACACACTCACACACACCCACACACACTCACACACACCCACACACACTCACACACACCCACACACACTCACACACACCCACACACACTCACACACACCCACACACACTCACACACACCCACACACACTCACACACACCCACACACACTCACACACACCCACACACACTCACACACACCCACACACACTCACACACACCCACACACAGACACACACACGAACACGTCAGTCCGACAGAACAACTGTTCCACACACACACCCACACACACACACACACACACACACGATCAGAAGACGCACCAGTCTGAGAGGATTGAACCACACACTCACACACACACACACACACGTCAGTCTGACAGAACAACTGTTCCACACACACACCCACACACACCCACACACACACACACACACACACACACGATCAGAAGACGCACCAGTCTGAGAGGATTGAATAGGAAGTGGACCAGATCCACAGCGCTGGGGTTCTGAATGTGGTTCTTCAACTTCCCCTGGAACGACAAACAATAATCACATCACAGATCATATAAATTAACATTTTCTAATGCTTGTAATTGGGATGGTAACCTGTTTAATGTCACTCACCAGCAGGTTGAAGGCGTGTTTGAACTTCTGGAAGCAGTCGATAAACTCGTCCTGAGACGGAGGTTTAGCTCTCAGCGTCAAAACTCCCTCTGATTGAAGAGACGCAGCAAATACACTCGTGACACACTGATGATGACGAGGATGATGTGTGATGTGTGATGTGAGGAGACGCTCACCTCCGGGTCCTTTCTTTTTGCTCTTCTTGGTATTCTTGCGCTTTGATAGCTCGTTAAAGGCCTCGGCGGCTTTCTGCAGTTTGGTGACGAAGTGTTCGATGTCGTCCAGAATATGATTGAGGATTTGCTGTAACACACGTCAGTATTTTACCATCTGCTGCACGCACACGCACACACACACACACACACACACACACACACACACACACACACACACACACAGACACAGACACAGACACAGACACGTGCAACACCAACGTGACTCTCGCACAACCATCAAACTGACTGAAAGTCTTCAGGGTATGTTTTATCCACTGCGAAATATTATCATATTATAAAATTGCATTGCAAAAAAAAAAATCACTATTTGGTTTGTTTGCCCAATTCGTTCAGCCTGTATTTAATGCATTTCCACACATACAGTTTCATGGACGGTAAAAAATATTTATAGATGTTAAATATTTTATTGCAATTGGCAGGTGTGTCAAAAAGTTAGTTTCAGACCCAGTTTATCTGCAGTGACGGACTCAACTCATTGGCCTGCACAGTCTAATTTTAAGGCTTTTTAAGACCTGGATAAATAAAAATTATAAGGGATGTGCAGTTCACAGCAGTGACATAAAATATTATCATATTATAAAATTGCATTGCAAAAAAAAAAATCACTATTTGGTTTGTTTGCCCAATTCGTTCAGCCTGTATTTAATGCATTTCCACACATACAGTTTCATGGCCGGTAAAAAATATTTATAGATTAAATATTTTATTGCAATTGGCAGGTGTGTCAAAAAGTTAGTTTCAGACCCAGTTTATCTGCAGTGACGGACTCGACTCATTGGCCTGCACAGTCTAATTTTAAGGCTTTTTAAGACCTGGATAAATAAAAATTATAAGGGATGTGCAGTTCACAGCAGTGACATAATTTTTTTTTTATTAAGGAGTAATATTTCTCAAATTAAAATGATTTCCAGGGACATTTTCTTTTACCTATATAAGGGGATTTTTTTCTATACTATGCATATAAATCAACTTTTATGTCACACTCTAGCATTCAAATTAAATTAAATTAGAATAAAAACTGTTACCAATCAAATTAAATCATTATCATTTGTGTGTGTTGCTCAGACTCGGTTCTGCTGTGGTTTTATTTTGAAATTTTTGTTGGCAAAATAAAGACAAAACAAACAATACTGACAGTGTTGTGTCTAAAATGTAAATTATCGTTTATGTAACTGTTGTAGAAAATACATATCACAGTTCCATTTGTGCTGATATTTGGGAAAACGACACTCTTGCTCATGTGATATTTTGATATAACTACATCATATATGACAAAAACTCATTGGGGCAAAAATGCCTGTGTATATTGAGTTTTTGGGGCATATAACTGCATACATGCATACACAGACTTTTTAAGACTTAATAACCTTGAATTTTAAAAATCAAATGTATACTTCTTAAGACTTTTTAAGCATCCGCAGGAACAGGAACAGAATGTGGTGTATCAGTGTAAATACTCACCACTTCTCTGTCCACTTGCGCTGGGCTCATCTCAGGAGAGCCATCCAGCTCTGTGTAATCTCTCGGTGGATCATCTGAACACAAACACACACACACACATGTGCGCGCACACACACACACACACACACGCACACGCACAATGAGACTCTGGAACAGGAATTCGAAGTGGATCATCTGAACACAAACACACACACACACATGTGCGCGCACACACACACACACACACACGCACAATGAGACTCTGGAACAGGAATTCGAGGGTTAATGACAGACACGCCTCCACTTACGCTCCTGCTGCTTATTGGTCCACGCAGTCCAACTGTCCACTCGGCTCTTGCCATCCGTTTGATTGACAGCTCCTGGAGGCTCGGGGGCGGGGCCTCCTGGGGGCGGAGGGACGGTCCCGTCACTCTTCAGAATCATTCTGACAGGCACAGAGAAGCGGATGCTGCGTTACCGTGGCAACAGGCATCTTCATAATTCACAAGCGCTGGACTTACTTCAGCACCTCCGGACGCTTCTTGACCTTCCCGCCCTTGTGGTCGCTGACAGCGCTCTCGATGTCCATGTGGATCAAATTGGCCTGATTTAATTACAAAATAAATGTAACTGTAATCAGTAGCAGTTACTGAAAAAAATTGACTTATTAAAATGTTAACTATTACAAAGGGGGATAACTGTTTTATTTCCTATTTGGGTTTGTGTATATGCTTTTTTTGTTTTTTTTAAATTAACTTTTATTTCAAGGCATTGTTAGTGTCAGTGTTTTCTGTCATAGCTATGCAAGGATTTGATTAAAAAAAACAGTATCATAGCTATTAAACTATTTCTTGTTATGATTTTAAATCTGTATTTAACCTCAGAATGATCTAAAAGTAAAAAGAGGTGCTAAAGTTTGATTTTGCAGTGACTAAATAATTATATTTAATTCAAGTGATAAAGGATTTTGAAAGTCTGACAGTAATCAGTGTTGAGTCCTACTGTAAGGTTAACCCTGCCTGCTTTAAATGTTTGAAAATGATTAACAATTGAGAAAAAATGTGAAAAAATTGTAACACTTTATTTTAAGGTGTTCTTGTTACACTTTACATGTACTTACTATTATAATAACAATATATATATATATATATATATATATATAAAACTACATAATAAATTACATGCAAGTAACCCTAATCCTAACCCTAACCATATAGTAAGTACATGTAGTTAATTAATATATTACTCAGTACTTAAATGTATAATTACACTGTAACAAGGACACCTTAAAATAAAGTTAAAAACCTTTAGAAATTTAAATTTAGAAAAGTAATCAAATATAATCAGTTACATTACTTTAATAAAGTAATTGAAATAGTTACACTACTTATTACATTTTAAATAGGGTAGCTGGTAATCTGTAACCTATTAGATTTCCAAAGTAACCTTCCCGACACTGACGGTCAGCACTCAGCAAACACATGAAGGAGTGAAACCAGACCTTGATGTCGTCGCACTGGAACAGGTGCAGGTCCGGTTTGCTCTGGCCGGAGTCCTTGCACACCAGTGCCAGGATGGAGTCGTAGCTGCAGGCGTTCATCACGGCCTGACAGTGCTGGATCGAGGCCAGAGGAAAGTTCTCCAGCTCGTTCTGAAACAAGCACATGATCAGGCCATACACGTATCACTAGTGCTGGGTAAAAAATATTGATATCTCTGTTTTCAGTTAATAGACGGAATGTTGAAGGGCACTTCCCATCCAATATATCACAATAAGCTTTGTGTTTTGTTACTTCTGATATGAAACAAAAAGTCCCAGATTTCAAATTCTGTCCACTCTATTGCAGTATTCAAACAATAAATGCAGTTTTTCAGACACGGCAGCGCGTAGCACATGTGAACTGATCATCTCCTCCACTTTATTACTAGTTATAGCACAAAATAAACATGACTAAACATCCGAAGGCAAGTTAAAAGAAAGAGTACAACTTTACAATCCGAACCCTGTCTCGTGTAATCGCTCAGTCAGTGTTTCAGCCGCGCAAAGACATCAATATAACAGCTTGTAAACAATGTCACGTCACATTTACCTCAGAAAAACATATTCTGTGACCATAAACTCGTTAGTCAGCTAGAAAAATAAACTGTAGAGAGGGGAATTTTGCTAAATATATGCACCAACTTCCATGTTTAATTTATGTTTAAATAAATCTGTCAAGTTTTTATGACAGCCACCATTTAAATGTTTATATTTCACAAAAATGAAATGTAGTTGTAACTTTATTATTATAAAAACTTCATTAAGTGTAATTTTAGCAGTTGTATAGCCTACAAATCAGTCAATTTTAACCTTCAATATTATTGTAATGTAGTACCAACTGACTCTCATGTATATTTTACAGCACAAGTTAAGAGATTTTTTTTCCTTGAGAAAATTTGGCATGTACTGTACCTGATACACATCCAAAATAATCGACATCGAATCGAATCGCAAGCTTGTGAATGAGAATCGAATCGTGAAATTTGGGTCAAAACCCAGCCCTACGTATCACTGGAGTAGGGTTGGGAATCGAAAATAGATTCCAATTCCAGAATCGGATACTTAAGGCCTGGCTGCCAACTCTCACGCATTCAGCAAGAAACTCACGCAATTGACACATCCAATCGGTATCGGCCAAAATTTTCATATCGGTGCATCCCTAATTTTCTTCAGTTAAAACTGTAATAATAGGATATTGGCAAAACAGATTTGGTCAAGGCTCCAGTGCATATTTGTGTTTGCGCTCTGGAAAATCTCCAAAAGATTCTATTTACAACGTATTTTTGTAGTGCTGAGCAATGTAGCCAATCACAGACATATCTGTTGATTTCTTGAACACTTGTGATTGGCCATTGCGTTTACTCAGATTATTTTCCTGCACACTTGCGATTCCTCTCAATGTAACATGGCGTTAATAAGAGGTTCATTGATTATAAAGGAACTTTGATAGTAAAGTAAGGGCTATTTGGGCACTTTCTAGGCTAAATCTAATCCGTTCAGAATTTGAATAAAAGTTTTGTTCTTCGGCCATATACCCTGTATAAAAGCACAGTTTCGGGAGTGACATATAAATCCCTCATGAATGCGGGATTGATTTTCGAATGGGAGAAAAATATAATTTGTGACCCTGGACCACAAAACCAGACATAAGGGTCAATTTTTTGAAATTGAGATGTATGCATCATCTGAAAGCTGAATAATAATCTTTCCATTGATGTATGGTTTGTTAGGATCGGACAATATTTGAAAATCTGGAATCTGAGGGTGCAAAAAAATGTAAATATTGAGAAAATCATCTTTAAAGTTGTTCAAATTAAGTTCTTAGCAATGCATATTACTAATCAAAAATTACGTTTTGATATATTTACGGTAGGACATTTACAAAATATCTTCATGGAACATGATCTTTACTCAATATCCTAATGATCTATAATTTTGACCCATACAATGTATTGTTGGCTATTGCTACAAATATACCCCAGCGACTTAACACTGCTTTTGTGCTCCAGGGTCACAAATATGTTTGATATTATTTTTTTAAATCACATTGGAATCGAATCGGAATCGATCAAATTGAAACGATACCCAACCCTACACTGGATCGCTGGGTTCGTACCTTGCTGTCGTTGTCGATGAGGCTGGCGGCTTTCCAGTCCACCTGCAGGATCATGTCCTGCGTCCAAACCTTTCCTTTAGCATCCAGCAGACGCAGCTTTCTGACGCCGTCCTCGATGGTCAGCATGGCCTCCTTACGGTCCATCACAAACGTGGTCAGATGCTGCAGGAGACAAAAGTCAAGTCACCTTTATTGTTTCAAAGCAGGCAAAAAAACACACAGAGCTTCTCAAATAGCTTTGCTTTTGGGGTTTAAAAGATGGTTAATATTCAGTAATATTATCAATTGAACTGCATTGACACTATCGGATGAGAACAAAACTTGAACCGAATTGATCTGAATAATAAGCTGTTCCACTGTACGAACAACACTTTCAAAGCATCTTCTTTTATAGAAGAAAGAAAGTCAGGTGTTATCGGTGTTGTATTTTCCTGGTTTTTGAGGATGAGTTCTTGTCACACAACCTGTCCGTGTTGATGTGCGTCCAATTGTTTGAGTCTGAAGTGATCAGATCTTGGCTCATCTCAGTCTAATCTCCTGAACGGATGCGTGTCTCACCTCCACATGGTACTGTGACGTGTCCGTCAGGCTGTTGATGCTGTTTTTGGTGTAGTTCTTCCTTTGCTCTGAGGAAAGAGCAGATCTCGTTATATAATCAGATCCGTCAGAGACACACAAGCGCGTCCAGAGTTATTCACATCTTCTGTTGTGATTCTGGAGCTCAACTGAACAATCAGCCTCAATCTAGAACAGATTCCGCGTGGACACACAAAACCCAACACATCAAATCACACGCATGTGAGGAGTTCATGACGCAGGACACACACACACACACACACACATCTGCTTCTACCTTTCTTTTTGTGTTTGGCAGAGGTGTGGAGGAAATACACTCCATCTGTTCCTGAGAGCGACGGTGCAGAGAAAACACACGCACACACACACACACAGTGACTGACATGTAGGTTTCTTCACTGTGACCTTTAACCTCTGCTGTGATGTGATACACACACAAACACCCCCCCCACAGTGACTCTGAGAACATCTCACATCTTACATCTTCAGCATGACAGACAACGAACAAATGTCAAGAACACGTCAAAATCATAATTCACCTCAAAATCAAGAAAAACTATGCTCTCAATCAGTGTTGGGGGTAACGCATTAAAAGTAATGCGTGTTACGTAATCAGATTACTTTTTTAAAGTGACTAGTAAAGTAACGCATTACTTTTAAAGTTACTTTTTAAATAAGTTACGCCAGTTACTTTGTTTTCCCATTTATTGACTGACAGCGCTCCTGTCCCCGTGCTGAGAGAAATCAGGAATAACTGCAGAGGATTATTACTTTCACTTCTGGTGTGAAAGAGCCCTTACATTTGTCCAAAATATAATATTAAAAACAAATAAATCCCAGCACAGGTGACAAAAAGTAACAACGCATTACGTTCCATAAAAAGTAACTAAGCAGTGCAATTGTACAAATGTAACGCACTACTTTTAAAAGTAACTTTTCCCAAAACTGCTCTCAATAAAGCAAACAAAGCCTGTTAAGGAGGCATCTGGATTTTCATGACAATAAAATACATTTTCCACCCAATTTGATGATTGCACTGCAAAAATATTCTAATATATTACTATACATCATGATAATATCTGTTGGCTTTACTAAAATTCTTCACATTACAGTATTTGTTTAATTGAGAATAACTGACTTGAACTGAATTGATCTGAATAATGACTCTATTGTCTTCTGTAGAGCTGCTTTCAATTGAATTATAAAGCGGAGCGTTCCGGTGCTTGACTCTGATTGG